ATAGTCCATTCTTGGTATATTAGTTGCTGGTGCAATGTACAAGTTGCTGGTGATTATGGAATAGTTGGCTGGTGATGATGGAGTAGAATTATAGTCTAAAATTTAGCAGCAACTTATTCTTTTCCCACCTATTCCTTGATTTATGCCTTGGTTTATTAGTTGATGGTGCCTTGGTCGCTGGTGTAATATTTGTACTGGTGCAACTTCTTTTTTAAGTTGTGTTTTATTAGTTGTTGGTGCCTTGGTTTATCAGTTGCTGGTGCAACATTTGTGATGGGGTAGCTTCATTTATAGTCTAAAACTTAGCACCAACTTTATTAGTGTCTAAAATTTAGCAGCAACTTCACAAGTGACAATTGACAGTGACTTCATAAATAGGAAATTGCATCAAAATAGATGTCTTCATACAATTGGAAAAAGAATTATACAATTGGAAATAGTTGTTGATATGATAACCATTTTCCGATAGCATGTACAAAACTAACACAATAAAAATAACTATTCAACAACTAACTACTAAACATGCTAGCCAACAACAATTTCCTCTTCCATACTACTCTGCACGTCCTTTTCCCTTGAGAAATGTCACGTTTACTGAAATCTCGACGTCTCATTTGTCGGCTATTCGAGCAAGAGAGTCAAACATTCTGGGCAAATCTTCGGCTTCCTCATTGGCCACAACATTCACTGCTTCATTAACGGTATTTGATTCACCAGTTGATTCTTCATTTTTTACCCAGTCGAAGTAGCCGCAGTCGTCACTACAAGTTTTGAATAGTCGCCCCTTATTATCGGTGTTCCTTTCAACTTGAAAACATTTTTGAATTCCATGTGAACACCAGGGGCATCGAAGTTTTCTCGGGCAATCCTTAAAATAATGCGTCGTGCTTCTACAACTGTGACAAACTCCGAAATTTGCCCCTTTCATCCTAAGATTGAGAACAAAATAATTACAGACATATATGGCAATGAAGACAAACTAGTTCCACCATTACAACATCACACACCTATTCACTCCACTAATTACAGACAGGTAAGGTAATAAGGACAAACTGTGCAACAACCTGAGATTTAGAACAACATAATTCCAAACAGATATGGCAATGAAGACAAACTAGTTCCACCATTACACCATCACACACCTATTCACTCCACTAATTACAGAAAGATATAGCAATGAGGACAAACTATGCAACAACCTGAGATTGAGAACAATAGAATTGCAGAAAGATAATGGCAATGAGGACAAACTAATTCCAGCATTACTCCATACCATTACACACTACCACAACTAACTTTACCATTACATACAGGCATGGTAAGATTTCCACTATCGAACTCAAACATGAACAACAAATGGTGGTTTATATTTGAGATCTCCAGTAAATCACTAGTAAAACCCTTCATCATTTATAATTTTTCCTGTTTTATATGCAGTTAACATTCTACTGATTGATGTATCCTAAATGGAGAAACTACATTAATATCTACATAACCAATGTCACTTGCCTTGTCTATGGTCTCATTTCCATCTCCAGAATCGGTGGTTGACTCTTTTCCCTTGAAGACTCGCAGAAAGCCAGAAAAATCAAAAAGTGGAGATGATAATCAGCAGTATGTTTTCCCCTGCCTTTTTAATGGGTTGTGCTTGAAGTGGTTGGAAGATCTCAAAAATGGAAAAAACAAAAGGCGGTGGTGGTGGTGGAGCTAATAAATTGTTTTCCTCTACTTCAAGGAAAGCAAATCTAAGTTGGGTGATGAAGCACCTATTGGCAAGAAATCTAAGCGGAGGAGCAGTGCTAGAGGTGTTCGAGGTCGACTTCGAAAATGGTCGCCGGACGAGAAGCTTTCACAGGCTTGAGGTCAACTCCAAAAAATGGCCTCTCGTCAATTTCAACAGAATGCTACAGTCGGATATAGAAACATAATCGTCGTCGCCGATAGTATCCAGTTCCCATGGCAGAGTTGAGGCGAGAATGAATACAGGCTGATTTTGAAAAATTAGGTTTCCACTAATAACCATTTCACGCGTTTTGTCTCTTTTCATTCTATTTTATTTTTTATTCTTTTTCAACTGCAAAGTCAGCAAATTTTGAAATCCTATACCATGCCTGTGAAATGCCGAATAATGCTTCTCTTACAGTCTCAATCACAGTAAGTTTGACAGCTTTTTGTCATTTTATGTGTGTATTGTCAATTATATTCTTACTTCTAAGTTTTAACTATTTTTTTAACCCCAAAATTGGTATCAGAGCCTGTAACGAAACTGAAGAATATTTTTAAAAAAACTTATAAACTGAATAGAAGAGCTAAAATTATTTTTAGAAGAATTACAAAATATTAATATATTACCTAATACTAATCGAATTAAATTACAACA